GCACAACTTTATTTCTCCATTCACCTTCCCTCTCATTTTGCCTCATCTCCATATACCCCATCTGGTAGCCAAAGTTAATAGAGCAGCAAACTACATCCTGCAGGCCAAGTCCGGCCAGCTACCTGTTTTTGTAAATAAAGATGCACTGAAACACAGCCACCTTATTTGTTTACATTTTGTCTATGGCTAATTTCACATTTCCAGGGCAAAACTGAATAGCTACAACAGAAGTCATCTGGCCTGAAAAGCCTAAAATATTTACTAGATGGCCCTCCACAGAAAAAATCTGCTGGCCCCTAGTCTAGTGTGTGGGCCTCCATACATTTCTCCGTTCTCATATGGACATATAGAAACAAATACATGAATACAGGTTTTGTTTTAGCCATTGTTTGCTTTTATAATAAAACTTGCTTTCTTTTTACTTAACAATATCTTGAGGACAGTCATTGTGCGTGCGTGTGTGTGTGTGTGTGTGCGTGTGCGTGTGTGTGTGCGTGTGCGTGTGCGTGTGCGTGTGTGTGTGTGTGGTATGATGATTAAGAATACAAGCTCTGGAGTCAGAAGCTTGGCTCTGCACGCACTAGCTGTACGACCTCTGGAAAACTGTCTGACTTCTCTGTTCCCCAATTTATTCAGCCATGTCATGGAGATGTTATAGTACCTAAATCATTGGGTTGCTGTGAGGATTAGATGGGATAACACATGTAAAATGCTTAGAACATTCAATAAACTCTTAGTAAACATCAGCTATTATTGTTCATTCAAAAATATGTATTGAGGAAATTCCGCATAGTTGAAGTAATAGCAGCAGCATAAATCTGAATCTTCTAACATTTCCTTCAAAATATCAATAAAGAACAAATAAAACGACAGAAAACTCATGCTCTAGGCATAACTATAAGACAGAAAACATCCGAACCTTGAGTTACCTGTAAAACAAGAAGCAAGAAGGGGAATTTAAGATCCTGTGAGACAAAAGAAAGTTTTCAAAATTCAAACATCACACATCCTTTCCCCACTGACACCCCTCTTCCACAAACAAAAGCCATCAGGTAACGAAACTATGCTTTTTTTTACATTGACACAAGAGGTCCCTCTTGGGCTAGGAATCTTGTAAAACAGCCCATACCTCTGTACACAGAAATGCAGGGGTGAGCTCACCATCTCTCTAAAACCGCTACACAAAGGGAGAGAAAATGGGGATCAAACAATTCAGCTCATGAAAATTCCCAAAATAACCAATAGCAAAATAGAAGGAAACTGTAACTCCAAACTGAACCAAATGTCTGCAAGTATTTGGAGATATGGAAACAAAGGGGAAAAAAAACTTGAATCAGAACAGAAATGAACAAAAAGCAGGAAGAAATAAGGGAACTCAGGAAAACATAGAAGAAAAATCAATAACCAATCAGAAATGAAGACTGAATGACAAGATGCACAAGGAAGAACAGATTTGAATGAAATTAATAAGGAAGGCAGGAAAATAACAAAGAGAATTTAAAAATGAAGAAGTAAGAAGTGTTAGAGAGAAAGTGATCAAAATGGAAGAGATAATGTATGGAAAACTGGAATTCCTGAAGAAAATAAAACAATGGAACAGAACTAAGACTTAAAACTATAATCCAAGAAAAGTTTCTGGAAATAAAAGAAGACCTAAATCTACATCTTGAAAGGGATCACGAGGTACCAGGAAAAACATAAGCCACGATGACCAAGTCTGAGACCGCCTAGAAAAACTATGAGATTTTGACGATAAAGAAAAGGTCAAGGTTCCCAGGCAAAAAGGTCAAATACTTTCCAGGAGCAGAAGAATTAGACCAGCATCAAATTTCTCAAAATCCACAACAGTAAGCAAAGCGACAATGGAGCAGAAGTTTCAAAAAAGACAAGAAAGGAAACTGTGAACCAAGGGCTGTGTATATCCACTCACACTGTGATCTTACCTCAAAGGGATCCTGTACCTTTGAGCCCAACATGAGGGAGGTACCAGAAGCTTCATCCCACCAAGAGATGACAGGAACTTCAGCAAAAAAGATGGATGGTGTGATCATTTAATGCCCTGACCTTGGAGCTAACATAAAAAAAAAAGTGAGTGGTGGGACTTCCCTGGCCATCCACTGGTTAAGACTCCACGCTTCCACTGCTGTGGCCTGGGTTCAATCCCCAATTGGGGAACTAAGATCCCGCAAGCCGCGTGGCGTGGCCAAAAAAAAAAGTGAGTGGAAGAATGTACTTTATATGTATTTTCTGACCAAGTAGAAATAATGTAACTTCTAAAATGTGAGGAGGTGGGAGAGAAGGAGGCGGGAAATCTCCCTGATTGTGTATCGGCGACAGTACAAGTTAGGGTAACATTCAATCTAGGTGAGCACAGCTCTTTCCTGCTGAGCCAAGCTTGCCTCCCATGTGCCATTTCGTGTCCGAGAATTCTCTTCTCCCTGTTGGCCCCCCACCCATGACCCCCACATCAGAACACATGCACCTTGTATGCAGGTGCCCGGGCTACAGCGCCCCACCGAGAAGGAAGCCGATATTCTGGAAGGTGAGCATTCTGAGCACCTGGCAGGGGCCTGGAGCAAAGGATGTTCCAGAAAAGCCTCCAAGTCCCCCAGCTCTCCTCCTCACAGAGGCTGCCCTCATGGAAAGAGGATCCCCCTTCCTCCCTCGTCCCCCAATGTTGCTGTACATATTTATAGGGCAGCTGGTGGGGGGCGGGGGACAGGTCTCGGTGACAGCAGGGCTTCCTGGCCGGGGAAATGGCCTCTGACCAGACCTTACACACCAATGCTGTTGGCATCACCTGGAGCTCCTGGTGGACCAACTCGGCCACGAAAGGGGGGCTGGAGGGAGCCACCAGGGCCACCAGGAGGCCAAGCTTTGTGTCTCTCCTCAGAGACAGGAGAACACCTTTCTTTCTGCTGTGCTGCTTCTTCTCAGTCGCATTCTCTCTGTCCAGCCATCAGTCACTCAATAATATTGATTCTGCACCAGTTCTGGGCTGGGCCGTGTTTGGGGTTCTGGGGATACACAGGTGAATAAGGCAGGTGCTGATCCGAGTCATAGGTGGTATGTAATGTGTAGAGACAGACGCACAAGCAGAACAACTCCACATAAAGTTGCAAAGATAGGACAGAAGCACACACTGAGGGCTGAACTAAGCAGAGTCTTGGAGGACAGGTCAGTCAGGTGCAGGAAGGCGGGAGGGTATGTCAGGTGCAGGGGAGCTCAGGGCCTGAAGCCCAGGCCTTGCAGAAACGTGCACTACTTGCTAGGGACTCATGGAAGGGCAAGCGGTGGCAAGAGGGTGGACAGCAGGTCGCTGGAGGGCCAAGGGAAGGGGACTTCTCAAGCCTGTAGGGGGAGCTCTCACACCCAGCGTGTGTGGGACCAGCATCCCATCCCTTGTGCTGTGGGACCAGCCCCTCCCAACTCCCCCCTTTTCCTTCCTTCTAGATTTGCCTATGGTCCACCATAGCTTGCATTTCCTGAATTGCAATTCCTCTGGCTACTCCCACATAAACTTACTTTTGCTGGTAAAATACCTGGCTATTATTATATTACTGAAGTTGACAGTAGCAACAAAGAAGGAAGCAGAGTTGAGTTTGGTCTTGAATATTTTGAAATCGAGGTATCTAAAGCTCCTGCAAGGGTGAAGTCCAGGAGAGAGCTGGACAGCAGGGGCTAGAAACAGATACGTGGGAGAAGGCTGTATCTAGGTGGCATGAGGGTCAAGTGCCCATTCGTTGCACCACATGTAATGAGACCCCACCAGGAAAAGCAAAACCGTGCGCCCCCAAAGACTTGATTTTCTGGCGTGGGAAGGGAAGATGAACATAATAAACACAATAATAAGGAAATTACATAGTATGTTAGAAAGTGGAAACTGCTATGAAAAAAAATGCAGGGAAGGGTGAGGGCCAGAAGGTGGAGAAAGAGGCAGAATGCTGTGGTATTACAGAATGTGACCCCCAACAGTGCAGGCAGCACCCAGGACGTGCTCCTAGCCAGCAGACTACAGCAGAGCTGACAGAAGGCTGCTCCTACCGTTAGGTCATATGAGACTCCACCCCAGCAGACCCGGGCCAGAGGCTCTCCACTGACACTGAAGGAGCATGAAGAGGGCCACATGGAGGGAACTGTGGGCAGCCTCCCAACAGCCCAGAAAAAGCTGGCCCTCAGTCACACAGCCACCAGGAAGGGAAGCCTGCTAACAACCACATGAGTGTGGAAGCAGATCCTTCCACAGTCTCGCCTCCAGCTGAAAACACAGCCCGCGGACACCATGACCGCAGCCTTGCCAGACTGAGCAGAGGACCACCTAAGACTTGTTGGACTCCTGTCCCACAGGAACTGTGATATAACAAACACGTATTGTTTTAAGCTGCTAACCTTGTGATAACCAGGAAACTAATACACACAGGGTAGTCAGTGGTCAGGGGTCCCCTCTAGGAGGTGAGCTCTCAGTAGATGGAAGTGGGAGTTAGCCAACCAGACAGCTGGGGACAAGTGTCCCAGGCAGAGGGAGTGGCCAGTGCAACTGAACGCATGCCACAGCGTGCCTGCTGCCTCTAAGGAACTCAAACAGGTGGCTGGCGGGGAGGGCACGAGTGAGGGAGGGGGCTGGGGTGAGTGGGGGGAGCCACAAGAAGAAGGAAGGGGGTGCGGGGGGAGCGAGGGGGGCTGAAGTGAGTGATGGAGTACAGGAGGAAGGGGGCACAAGAGTAAGGGAACGGGCGCAGAGGTGACTGAGCTGCAGCTAATGGTGGGGTGGCTGCGTGAGGGGGCGTGTGGGACCCCAGCGGAGTGGGAGGAGGTGGCTCGGGGGCGGAGTCCACCGTGGTGCACCACCGAGATGCTGGGGCCTCGCCACCTAGAGCGGCACCGGAAACGGCCGGCTGGGAGCGGGCTCTTCCTGCGGGCCCGAAGGCGAGCGGGCGGGCGGGCCAGCGGGGATCGCCTGAAATGGGAAACCAGCTGAGGGGTGGAGCCCTCCCGGGAGCATCACAGAGAGGCCCGGGCCCTCGCCTCCTAGAGCGACGCCGGAAGGGACGGGGCCAGAGGCGGGCCCTTCCGGCCGGCGCATGGGCTGGGTTGCTCGGCTGTGCAGCTTCACGGCGCTGGGCAGCTGGGGTGTGGCGGGGCTTGGGGACGAGGCGTCCCTCCCGGCCCGGGGACCCTGTTAGGGGCGCGCCCGCCCCAGCCTCCATGCAGGAATTCACTGGGTCCCTCTGGCGTCGCGTGGGCCCCCTGTCCAGAGCAACGGCACTCCTTTCTAGGCTCCTGGGCGCCGCGGGGAGGAGGGCGAGGCTCGAAGACCAGCTCCGTGCGGATCGAGGTGGAGTCCTCGGGCCCAAGGCTGGCGAGGCTCTGTCAGGCGACGCCCTCTCCTTGGCCTCGACACCGCTGCGGGCCCACACACTGCTTGGGTGCATGTTTGCCCTTGGATCTCCCACCACTAGTAATCCAGTCTCTCCCTTAGACCCCGGCTTCTGAGGACAAGTGAGGTTACCACGGAGTATCCTGCTGCAGAGGGATACCCAAAGCTTCATGTTACAAGAGTCCTGGCACAGAGAGTGAAGGAGCTACACTGGAGTCGCACAGCAGGTACCAGCACCCCGGCCTTTAGGCCAGGGTTCTCGTCTGCTCTGGCAAGGTGGACTGAGTTTTCTGCGTGGCTGTAGCAGTCATCAGGCCTACAGGCCTGTGAAATGAAAAGACCAAGACAATGACCTCAGGTCTACACCGCTTTTAATAATTAAATATTTTATTCCTTGGTGTGCACGGGACTTAGAGAAGTGAGTACGTCCAGTCTCTGCCATTAAGCACCTGCCAGCTTGAGGTAGGCAGACAAGACGATTATCTAGAATGTTTCCTGAGCAGCAGTATGTGCAGGCTACAGCCAAGTAACTAGGGATTCAAGGATGAAAAAGACACGATCCTTGCCCTGAAGAGCCCTCGCCTCGTCGGGAGACTGCCACATCAGTGACAAGCCACACGTGGAGTGACAGGAGTCCTGGTGGGGGAACAGTTCTTGGAGCACAGCCGGCAGTTGTCAGGCTCAGTGGGTTCAAGGACCACCGCTCTCCATCAAGTGGGTCAGCACAGAGCCAAGCTGAGTTTACGCCTTCCCTGGAGAGCCGTGGGCTAGAGGGTTGGTGGCACTTTCCTGTTGGTTCTTGGTTTTCATCTGTTTCCTACTAACACTACACCTGAGCTCAAACTCCAGCCTGGCTGACTGGGGCCGTGATCCTCTGCCCTGGTTCCGCCTACCTCCCCAGCAGAGATGCTCCCATATTTGTGCATGCTTCCCTCAGCCTAGATGGCCTTCCATCACCCTCAATTCTGGCTCTCACCTGATGCTACCTCCCAGAAGCTACCTCCAATAGAGCCTTCAGAGAATGACGTTTACCTGAATCCAAGTCAGGTGTATCTAAGCATTTTCATTTAGAAGAAACCAGACTCTCAAACTCTTGTCAAGTTGGGAAACCTGTCCAGTCATTTTATGCGTTGCCTCTGTGCATGGGAGAGTGGGTGAAAGCCCAAGTACCCCCTTTAACTTAAAGGGAATTCAAAGCATTTGCACCTCAAAACGTATGTCACTTGGGACATTATTACCCAGAGCACCACATTTTAGGGTGAGACAGCCTGTCAGGATATGGACCTCCCAGTAGATTGGGTGACCAGCACAGGTCATGGGCGGTCTTCTCAGGGATGATTTGAGGACTCAGAACATGATCTGCTTTCTTTGGAAAGTGTTTTCTCCTAATCTTGTGGAGGATTTCTTTTGCTAGCAGTTGAAGAGCCTGAAGCTTGTCAAGGCTTTATCCTGGAATTGCATTAGTTAGCACTGAGGGAAGAGGCAGGTCAACACAACTCAGAAATAATACAAAAAAGAAATAGATGAAGGTTCTTAACCAATGAGACGTGAGCCATGCTGGTGATGCTTCTACAAGCACCTACCACTGGAACCGACTGATTCCTGTTTGAACTCGTGGTGAAATTGGAATTCTTTTAGATGGGATTAGAGACAGAGAATGTCAGGTTTTTTAGACAATGCAAGCAAGATCGTAGTTGATTGTTCCCTGGGGTTTTGGCCTTCAGTGGATGAGTTGGCTCCAGTTAAGTGCCACAAGGAGAATGGGAGCTGGATAAGGGAACCAGGGAGTGGGGTCAGGGAGAACTGCCTGAGAAGAACTCTGAATGAATGAGGGGCCAGCACCACCAACACCTCCTCTCAGGACCTGTTTCTAGGAGCACCCAGGCGCTGAGGCAGGAAGGAATGTGTGGCAAACCTAAGGATGGCTGGGGGGGTGGGGAAGCACAGGGGCAGCAGTGTGAGGGGAGCCAGTGGGGATTTGGGCAGAGATGTGACGGGGGTTCACTGGCTGCGCTGTAGAGGATGGACCCAGGGGAGGGCCGGGGTGAGGGTGGGAGCGAGTTTCATCCAGCTCAGAATCCAGGCTCCAAGTGATGGGAGCTACCTTCCATGAGGGTCACATGTGGCTCCCACAGCCTGTAACTCCAAAAGCACGTTGTCTGGTCCCAAATACAAGAAGTGGAGAAGGAGCAAGTAAAGGGCGGGGAAAACTCCAGTTTGGGGACCACGCGGCAGTCGTTGGTCCATGGTACACATGAGTCCTACTGGACGCAGGTGTGGAGATGCTGGCCCCTGGCAGAGGAATAAGAATTCCTTGGTTGGGACTTCCCTGGTGGCGCAGTGATTAAGAATCTGCCTGCCAATGCAGGGGACATGGGTTCGAGCCCTGGTCCGGGAAGATCCCACATGCCGCAGAGCAATGAAGCCCATGCACCACAACTACTGAGCCCACATTCCAAAACTACTGAAGCCCGCGCGCTTAGAGCCTGTGCTCCACCACAAGAGAAACCACTTCAGTGAGAAGCCCGTGCACCGCAACGAAGAGTAGCCCCCGCTCGCCACAACTAGAGAAAGCCCACACGCAGCAACAAAGACCCAACGCAGCCAAAAATAAATTAATTAATTAAAGAAAAAAAGAATTCCTCGGTTAGCAACTGAGTAAACGATGATGCCATCTACTGAGATGAGGAAAACTGGGAACAGTGAGGTTGTCGGGGGTGGGTTTCTGGGAAATAAGTGCTCTGTTTGGTCATGTCCAGCCTGAGACTCATTAGCTGTCCAGGTGGGATACGTGAGCAGGGAAGGGAAGGGGGCCATGTTCCCATGCCTCCCCCACCCCTTCCCTGCCCATCTGCCCCTTCATAACTCAGCACTCAAAGACCTCATGGCTGTGTTCCTCCCAAACACTCGTTTAATCTAATGTTCGTGGTCTTGTTTCTCTCCAGCCTCAGAAGGGTTGTTGGTGCTCTTCTCTTTGTTGGAGAGTTTCTGTTCCAGAACTGCAGTTACCAGCTTGGAAAAATACAGTGTTGTGTCTAAAGCAAGACCTTTCTGAAGAAGTGGAGTTACAAGGAAATTCGTAAGGCTGGAGAATCTTGCTGCTGGTCGTTCTCCTTGGCCCTTGCTGGCTTCCAGTGGTCCTTCCTCTCTCCTGGGGACAAGAAGGATGGAAAAGCCCACAGGCAAAAAAAAGAAGGCACAGACCCCAGAGGAAGAAGTACATGTTCAGAAGGACACTCCCAAGGAAGATAAAGCATCTAGGAAAAAGAAGCCAAACCAGAGATCCACTTTGGCCAAAAAGCACAGTAAGGAACCCAGCCTGAGTCGTGAGGACGAGGAACACATGTTTGAGGCCTTCAGTGCTACATTTAAAGATGACTTTGAGGGGGTTCCTGTGTTCACTCCCTTCCAGAGGAAGAAGCCCTACGAATGCAGCGAATGTGGGCGCGTCTTTAAGCACAAGACAGATCACGTTCGCCACCAGAGAGTCCATACTGGAGAGAAGCCCTTCCAGTGTGCCCAGTGCGGGAAGACATTCAGGCACAGCTCCGACGTGACCAAGCACCGGAGGATTCACACCGGAGAAAAGCCCTTTAAATGCAGTGAGTGCGGCAAAGCCTTTAACTGTGGTTCAAATCTCCTACAACATCAGAAAACCCACACTGGAGAGAAGCCGTACGAATGTAAGGAATGTGGGAAAACCTTTGCCTACAGCTCATGTCTTATTCGCCATCGGAAACGTCACCCACGGAAGAAGCACTGAGCGTGGGGAAGCCATCCAGACTCAGAGCTTTGTGCCCACGAAAACTGTCCGGGCAGGCCTGCCTGGGGCTCCTCCTCCCCTGGCGTCTGATTGGGCTGGGGGTCCTGCCGTCACCAGGAAAACCGCCCCAGCCAGGTCAGCAAACACCGGTGTGGCCAGAGACCTTTCTGGTCTAGAGAATCTCCAGGGCAAGACATCATGGTAACAAGGCAGCTCCTCGCAGCTGTGGCACCAGGGAGGTGAGTGTACAAACTGCTGTCCAGGGGACAGGCTTCAGACCCGAGCACGGTCAGCACCTCCCACTGCCACCTCCGCCTGTGACTCCCATGCTGGCTTCGGCCCTCCCACCGGCTCCTTTGAAGACTGTGCTGCAGACCTTTGGCCCACTGGGTCCCAAGTCCATCTCCATGCAGCCCGGCAGGAGGCCTGTGGCCCTGGGCTGGATGGCAGTGCTTCCGCAGTGAGCACTGGGGATCCCAGTGTCCCCCTGGCTGGCTGTGGTGGTGGTGCTGTGCTTTGTCCTCTGCCTTCCCTCCTCTCTGGAGAACCATTCCTTGAACTTGGCCCCTGCTCCCAGGAACTGGGCTCCCTGTGTGTCCTCCCACATCAGCCATCATCCCAGCTGAGCAGCCTTGACTTACCAGGTGGACCACTCAGGACACTAAATGCTACCACTGTGGGAGCTTCCTGCCCTGGCCACGTGAGGCCCCGGGATGTTGACGGCAGCTTGGATGCAGCCTTTGCCTGCCATGCGGCCTTTCAGACACGAGACGGTGGGCCTGCCCCCCAGGGCCAGCTCTCCGTTCAGGTTAGTTCCACTTCTCTGTGCTTGGCCCCCAGGTTCCATCCTACCCCCTTCACATCCACATGCTGTGCCTGCCCTTGGTTTCCCTCCAAGAGTGGTCTGGATGGGCCTCCATGTTCTCCCGGGCGAGGGTGTGGTTTGTCCCAGAATTTCAGCACAGTATAAGAGGGGCGAGGTGACTGTCATCCAGGAAGTAATAGGGCTTTTTATCAGGAAAATGTTGATACCTACATTTTCAGCTCTTTAGACCCAGAAAACTAATAATGGCCTTGATCTTGGGGGCTCCTCCATCAGGAGACAGGAGAGAGTACTTCAAGTGGAAACATCCCTCCAGGTTAAGATTTTTACTCTTGTTCTTTCTAAAAGCTATGACGTTATAACAGCTCTACCTGAGGTGGCACCTCTGATTCACAGCTCGGCAGGCCCTCCTCCTACCCCGACAGGCAGGCCCCAGGTGTGACCTGTGATCCTGCTCTCACAGTCCCGGAACTGGAGATGTGACAAGGCAAAGTTGTTCAAACAGGTGCCAGGGTCTGGCTCAGGGAAAACACACCTGTGATCCTGGGTGGGGAAAGGTTGCTATAAAGGAGGTCACTGGGACATTTGGCAAACGTTGGGTGTAGACTGTCCACAGGGGAGGTGGGGGGGCACATCAGTGTCAAGGCTCCCTGGTTTGATGGCCTGCGGCCATCCCAGACAACGTCCTTGTCATGAAAGATGCATGCTGAGGTCTTAAGGGCCACAGGGTCATGACATCTGCAGTTTGCTCTCAAAGGCTGAGCAAAGAAGCAATAACAACAATGCAGATTGGAGATTGGCAGGTTGACAAACATTTTCTGTTAAGGGACAGATAATAACTGTTCTTGGCTTTGTAGCCATAAGGTCTCAGCTCAGCCATGACATGCAATAGCAATCACGGCACAGAAACGGCCAATAAGGCTTTATTTACAGAAGCAGGCGGTGGGCTGGATTTGGCCGGTTCCAGATGAAGGGTATGTGACACGTTCCAGGGGTGTCTGCATCTGCTTCGGTTTGGTTTGGTTTTTATTTATGATGGTTTATAATATACCATGATGGATATATTGTTATATATAAAATATTGTATAAATGTACCATAAATTACAACACATCACATGTACTATAGAAAAATTATCGTTTTCTATGTTATTATGTTTCCATGTTAATACCAATGGGAAGCATTTTTTGTGGCTGCATAATGATCCATTAAATAAAAAGTTGACTTAACCTTCTCCTAACAAAGGCATGTAGGCTGTTTCCAGTTTAGGTCATTAAAAACAATGCAGTAAACATCTTCTCCACATTTAGGGCCAACAGAACGGGTTGCCAGAAATGAGCTGACGGGGAGATCATTCTGGCAAATTACCTTCCCCCAGGTTGCGCTGCATAAGTGCCCCAGCAGTGCACAGGTAGCAGGTGGGTTTTAATCTCGCCAATTTGATGGGAGAGAAGAAGCATTCTAATCTGGTGTCTTCGAGTTCTAGAGAGGAAGCAGGTGGCAAAGAGCGTAGTCTCTCGAGCCAGGGGTTACTGACTCGACCCTCGTGCCTTGGAGATGTGGGACCTTGGGCCCATCCTTCACCTCCTTGTGCCTATGGTTCCTCAGAGGTGACTTGGAGGCATTGACAGTGCTCAACCTGGTCAGTGACTGTGTGTGACCTCAGTGCCGTGCTGACCCCCAGTTCAGCCACTGTCAGCTCCGGTCACATGTTAGTGTCCTTAGTGAGGGGACATTTTGCCACAGGCATGAGAGGTGGCTGTGCAAGCAGACAACCGTCAGTCCCTCTCTCAAGAGAATGAAATCAACCAGGAAAACAAGAGAGACATGAGAAAATAAATCACACAATCAAACTAAAATCAGTCCACCGTCTTTTTTGCCTCCTGTCATTTTGGTTCAGACAGATGGGCTCATTTCCCATTTCTTCTGAGTTAACCATTATGACACCACATCACCACCAAGCACTGAACCCAAATCTTTCAGATAAATCTATTTTGATGGGTTTTTTGTTTTTTGGGTTTTTTTGCTATTGCTCTTCAAATGAAACCCAAATTCCAGAAAAAGAAAACCTTCTAAGTAGCCTGAGTCAAAGAAGAAAAACATGGGCTTCCCTGGTGGCGCAGTGGTTAAGAATCCACCTGCCAATGCAGGGGACACGGGTTGGAGCCCTGGTCCGGGAAGATCCCACATGCCACAGAGCAGTAAGTCCATGCACCACAACTGCTGAACCTCTATTCTAGAGCCCATGAGCCACAACTACTGAGCCCGCACACCACAACTACTGAAGCCCCCGTGCTCTGCAATAAGAGAAGCCACCACAATGAGAAGCCCACGCACCGCAACAAAGAGTAGCCCCCACTCACTGCAGCTAGAGAAAGCCCGCACACAGCAACGAAGACCCAACACAGCCAAAAATAAATAAATTTTTTAAAAGAGAGAAGAAAAAAGCATAATGAAAGTTATAAAATACTTAAACCTGGATGATAATGAAAATACAACTTGCCAGAAATTCTGGTGCAACTAAAGCCAAACGGAAATTTGTAGCCTTATGTGACCAGCAGAAGAGCTGGAAATCAACAAGCTAAGCATCCAACTTTAAAAGTGAAAAAAGGCCAACAGAATAAACTCAAAGTAGAATGGAGGAAATAAATTATAGAAATTAATACGACTAATGGGAATGGATACCATGGAGAGCATTTTTAATAAAAGTTGGTGCTCTGACAGGACTATGAAAATTGACATTCCCTGGCAGTGGAATCCAGAAAGAGAGAAGGAAGGAGCAAAGGAGCTCCTTTAGGAGTGAGAAGGAGAGCTCCATTAGGAGTGAGAAGGGGAGGATAATGGCAGATACATCAGAGATTAGAAGGATAAACTTTCAAACCAAGAGATGTGAGAACTCAAATGAAGTGGGTTATAGAAGAAAGATGAGTTACTGAAGCCAACTCGAGGAAATAGCCTGAAGAATCCTCTAACCAGACAGATTGCTTTCATAGTTGACATAAATTCATAGATGCATAGACAACATAAATTGCAGAGGAAGGAACACTCCCAAATTTGTTCTACGAGGCCACCATTACCCTGATACCAAAACAAGACAAAGATACCACTAAAAAAGAAAATTACAGGCAATATCACTGATATTATGCAAAAATCCTCAACAAAATAACTAGCAAACCGAATCCAACAATACATTAGAAGGGTCATACACCATGATCGAGTAGGATTTATCCCAGGGATGCCAGGATTTTTCAATATTCGCAAATCAATCAGTGTGATACACGACATTAACAAACTGAAGAATAAAAACCATATGGTTATCTCAATAGATTCACAAAAAGCTTTTGATAATATTCAGCACCGATTTATGATTAAAAAAAAAAAGAAAACTCTCCAGAAAGTGGGCACAGAGGGAACATACCTCAACGTAATAAAGGCCATATATGACAAACCCACAGCTAACATCATACTCAGTGGTGAAAAGCTGAAAGCATTGCCTCTAAGATCAGGAACAAGACAGGATGTCCACGCTGGCCACTTTTATTCAACATAGTTTTGGAAGTCCTAGCCACGGCAGTCAGAGAAGAAAAAGAAATAAAAGGGATCCAAATTGTAAAAGAATAAGTAAAAATGTCACTGTCTGCAGATGACATGATACTATACATGAAAATCCTAAAGATGCCACCAGAAAACTGCTAGAACTCATCAATGAATTTGGTAAAGTTGCACGATAAAAAATTAATACACAGAAATCTGTTGCATTTCTATAACAACAAAAGATCAGAAAGAGAAATTAAGGAAACAGTCCCATTTGCCTACATATCAAAAAGAACAAAATACCTAGGAATAAACCTACCTAAGGAGGTGAAAGACCTGTACTCCGAAAACTACAAGATGCTGATGAAAGAAATCAAAACTGACACAAACAGATGGAAAGATATACCATTTTCTTGGACTGGAAGAATCAATATCGTCAAAATGACTATAATCCCCAAGGCAATCTACAAATTCAAGGCAATCCCTATCAAATTACCAATGGCATTTTTTGCAGATCTAGAACAAAAAAACCTTAAAATTTGTATGGAAACACAAAAGACCCTGAATAGCCAAAGCAATCTTGAGAAAGAAAAACAGAGCTGGAGGAATCAGGCTCCCTGACTTCAGACTATACTACAGAGCTACAGTCATCAAAACAGTATGGTACTGGCACAAAGACAGACTTATAGATCAATGGAACAAGATAGAAAGCCTAGAGATAAACCTACACACCTATGGTCAATTAATCAATGCAAAGGAGGCAGGAACATACAATGGAGAAAAGACAGTCTCTTCAATAAGTGGTTCTGGGAAAACTGGACAGCTACATGTAAAAGAATGTAATTAGAACATTTTCTAACACCATATACAAAAATAAAATAGATTAAAGACCTAAATGTAAAATCGGATACTATAAAACTCTTAGAGGAAAACATAGGCAGAACGCTCTTTGACATAAACTGCAGCAAGATGTTTTTGAATCCACCTAGAGTAATGAAAATAAAAACAAGAATAAACAAATGGGACCTAATCAAACGTAAAAGCTTTTGCACAGCAAAGGAAACCATAAACAAAACAAAAAGACAGCCCATGGAATGGGAGAAAATATTTGCAAACGATGCAACTGACAAGGAATTAATCTCCAAAATACAGAAACAGCTCATGTGGCTCAATATCAAAAAACCCAATAAAAAAAAAATGGACAGGGCTTCCCTGGTGGCTCAGTGGTTGAGAGTCCGCCTACCAATGCAGGGGAGACGGGTTCGTGCCCCGGTCCGGGAGGATCCCACGTGCCGTGGAGCAGCTGGGCCCGTGAGCCATGGCCGCTGAGGCTGCACGTCCCGAGCCTGTGCTCCACAACGGGAGAGGCCACAACAGTGAGAGGCCCGCATACCGCAAAAAAAAAAAAAAAAAAAAATGGACAGAAGACCTAAGTAGCCATTTATCGAAAGAAGACATACAGATGGCCAAAAAGCAGATGAAAAATGCTTAACATCACCAATTATTAGAGAAATGCAAATGAAAACTACAATGAGGTTTCACCTCACACTGGTCAGAATGGCCATCATCAAAAAGTCTACAAATAATAAATGCTGGAGAGGGTGTGGAGAAAAGTGAACCCTCCTACACTGTTGGTGGGAACGTAAATTGGTGCAGCCACTATGGAGAACAGTATGGAGGCTCCTTAAAAAACTAAAAATAGAGCTACCATATGACCCAGCAATCCCACTCTTGGGCATATATCCGGAGAAAACCGTAATTTCAAAAGATACATACACCCCAATATTCCTTGCAGCATTATTTACAATAGCCAAGACATGGAAGCAACCTAAATGTCCATTGACAGAGGAAAAGGTAAAGGAGATGTGGTACATATATATATATATATACAATGGACTATTACTCAGCCATAAAAAAGAATGAAATAAAGCCATTTGCAGCAACGTGGATGGACCTAGAGATGATCATACTAAGTGAAGTAAGGCAGAAAGACAAGTATCATATAATATCGCTTATTTGTGGAATCTTAAAAGAAAATGATACAAATGAACTTATGTACAAAACAAAAATAGACTCACAGACTTAGGAAACAAACTTACGGTTACCAAACGGGAAAGGTCGGGGCGGGGGGGATAAATTAGGAGGTTGGAATTAACATATACACACTACTATATATAAAAATTGATAATTGACAAGGACATACTGTATAGCACAGGGAACTCTATTCAATACTCTGTAATGACCTATATGGGAAGAGAAACTGAAAATGAATATATATATATATACCCACACATATATGTATGTGTAACTGAATCACTTTGCTGTACACCTGAAACGAACACAACATTGTAAATCAACTATACTCCAATATAAAATAAAAATCAAAGAACAAAAAAGTCTATAGCAAATTAAACCTTAAGGTTAAATGTTAAACGGCATTCTCTTTGAAAACGAGCAGTACAGAGTTTCTGCCATCACTATTAATATTCACGTGTATCTTCCCGGACCAGGGCTTGAACCTGTATTTCCTGTATTGGCAGGCAGATTCTTAACCACTGTGCCACCAGGGAAGTCCCAAGTTTTGAAGCACTTTCCCTGAAATCTTGTTGCCACCCAGGGTGGGATACATGGGTTGAGCCACAGCCCACGCCCCCTTCCCCACCTTGCTCTCCTCCAGCCCCTGTGGCCGTTATCCCCACCAAGTACCAGCCTCCGCGTGTCCATGTGCCCAGAGCCTGGCCTTATTTACACCGTTGGCATTTCCCAACTGTTGATAATTTCCCAATTATCAACCAGGTGATAATTGCGCTTCTTTATTTATTCAAAAGGTATTTCTGCCCTTTTTCGGCTGTGAAAGCAGATCCGCCCCAAAGCAAGAAGTTCCTGGTGAAATATGCGTAAAAAAAGAACCTCAAAACTAGCAAAACTTCCACATTCCTGAGCTCCAGGGAGGAACAGAGATCAAGAAGGAAGGGAAGAGAAAGGCCGTGGTAAGAAAGGATACCCCTGCGGTCCACATGCTAGGCTGCAGGAGGGGCGTGCGGGGACACGGCGCGGAGGGCTGTCACTGCAGCGCGGGCGCTGTCACTACAGGGCAGGCATTGTCACCGCAGGGCAGGTGGCCGGGCAGCAGACACTCCACCCTCGGGCAGTGCCTGCCGTCGGGTCAGGTGGAGGTGGAGGGAAGTGTTTCATCTGAGGCCGTGTGAAGGCAGTGAATTGAAAAGGGGAAGCAACCGCAGGGAGCCGTCTGGAGATTCTGAGGCGCTCAGCCCCTCCCCCTCAGCCAGGAGTGCTGTAGGACAGGCTCCAGGAGGAAACAGCTGCAGGCCAAGTCAGAACCTCCTTGGCCTCGGAGCTTGTCCCGGCAAACGCCCTTCAGGGTGTCCCCTCCCCACTGAACACAGGAGAGCGGTTAAAGCAGCGACCGCAGAAACACGTCAGGGCACCTGAGTTACTGCGCAGGCTCCCCGCTGCCGGGGCCAGCACGGAGGTCGCTGGGACGGCATGACCTGGCGTCAGAGCGAAGGCACAGAGGACCTGAACGGACGTGGGGACACCTGCGGATGTCCCGGGGACGTGACGTCTGTGGTCCTTCGTGCCAGATCCTGTGCTCTGAGGGAAGCTGGCGGTGCGGGCCACAGAGCAGGCGGGGCTGAAGGGCTTCAGCCCAGGTCGCTCTCGCCAGGTCCATTGCACCCCTGGGGAGGCTCTGGGCACCAGCACGTCACCTGGGCTTTATTTCTAATGGCCGCTCATGTCTGTCCCCATTTTGGGCACCGAGATGTGATCATTCCTTTCTTCTGCCGGTGAGCTAGACACCAAGACGCGCTGCAGAGTGACACTGGGCTGGCCTGGGCCCTGGGGGCAAGGCCAGGGCTCCGAGTCACCCTGCTTGCAATGGAAGCCCGTGGTGCTGGGGCACTTGGGCATTTGCTCTGGAGCAGCACAGATAGAGGTCACGGTGAGGGTGGGGTTTTCAGTGAGCAAAGATGGCGGGGTAAAGGGGGTGTCTTGAGGCCCACGGAAGCAGTGTTGGGACCAGAGAGGGAAATGGCGGGGGACAGGGCGGGAGTGACCCGGGATCCACTGCCTGGGGTCAGGGCTGAGCTCTGAGAGGCAGCCGGTGTCTTCAAGGACCCCTGCCCCGAGCTCGGAGTTCACTGCCTCCTGGCTGCTTGCGCACAAACTCCAGCCACCTGTCAGCAAAGCCGGAAGCCGGAGGTCCTCCCCTTGACCAGAGCCCCTACAGGATCCAGGCCCAGCCACAGGGCGAGGCTGACGCTGCGGACTCCACGGACGGGGATTTCCAAGGCCTGAGGACAGCCGTCCCTCGGGGTGAGCTCCCGGCGCCCCAGCCCCACTGCCCACAGCGATCTCGGCACTGGGCAGCCCTGGTGTCGGGTACGTCCGACACAACCTGCGAGCTCCCTGTGGGCCCGCGTGGCCTGTGTCCCTGCAGCCTCACTCACGCAGCGTTCTGGTCCTGTTTGCCTTTAGTGTCCTGCCTCTTGGTGTTACTGCGTGTTTGTTTCCTGGAGAGCTTCAGCACTGGGGGTGCTGCTCTCCTCATGCCCCCCTGGTGGACCGAGGTGGCCATGGGCTACAAACGCCTGTGCACAGCGGGTGGCCTTGAGCCTGTGCTGGGGCGGACGCTTTCCCCAGTCTAGTGTTTCCGACTGTTATTTTTAGTCCTAGAAATGCAACTTTCCAACTAGTCAAATTTGTTGAACTTTTACTTGATTATATTTTCACATCCTTCAGTCCGTGGAAAGCAAGTGTGGTCTACATTTGGGGTAGATGTTCTCTTTTGTTCTCTCCTCGCTTTCCCGGGGCTTGCTTTTCACGCGGTGTTCTCTTAACCCAGACGCCTGTTGCGCTGGTCCCCACGTTTCTTCCCAGATGCCCTGGGCATCTGTCAGTGCTTCCTTGTCCTGCTGCCTCTGGATCTTGTTTTCTCCTGCAATAACCATCTGTTCTGACCTGTTCACTGCATTCAGCTGCTCTCCCCACAGTCAAGAGTCCCCAGGGAGGTGCCACTGCCTCAAGGGAGAGACCATCTCCCGGCTCAAGGTCTGGCCCAGGCCTGCAGAGCCAGAGACCCAGCTGGTCACTGCCTCTGGATGTGTCTCTTGGGGGCCACCTCATCTTAACCAAACTTGTAAGAGACCAACACACAAATCAGAAAAGGAATGTGCTAACTTAGGATGGGCATGACCCCTTGCTTCAGCAAAATACCGTGTCCCTCAATAGACACCCCCTCTCTGAGCCTGGATACAGGTTCCCCTGCTATCCAAAAGCAGAGCGTTCCTGTGACACCTTCCAAGGCCGAAATGGCATAAAGCGAAGAGGCACTTAGTTACCTTGTTAGGACACGTGTTGCTCACGGCGCACAAGGCAAATCGAGACGAAGCGCAGACGCCCCCAGACGCGGTTCGCAGCCTGGCCGCTTGGTGCTGAGTGTAGTCCCTTAGGAGCCCGGCAGGGGCCGCTCTCGCTGCCTCGGTTGCAGCTGCTGCAGAACAAATGCTGAGCGCTGTTTTCACTTTTTGCCTTTATTCAAAACAAGCTAAAATCCTGTTTGGATTTGTTGGAAAACAGGTACTAATGTAGGTCTCTTGTAAAAGCAAAGTGGTGTAAAGAGAACTTTCAAAAAGCAGGGGACATTTTTACCTGGGAAACAAAGTTAGGCCCTGTCGTTGCTTCATGCCTACAGTGTGACGTGACCTTGCCTGCCCCCAGACCCTGTCAGCACCCCGTTCAGGTCCCGAGCTCTGACGCGCTCTGTCAGTCCTTCCCTCTGTGCCCCTGCTCACTTTGCCTCTGTTAGAGCAGATGTTCTCACGAGGGGCGATTCTGCCCTCAGGAGGTGACGTTGGCAACACCTGGGGACATTTTTTTGGTTGTCCCAACTGAGGGGAGGTACTATTGTCAGTTGCGGGGGGCAGGGAAGCTGTTCAGCGTCCTAAAGAGCCCAGGATGCTGAGGGTGGGGACCCGAGTTAGATCCGTGACTTAGGCGAAGGGCCAAAGAGAAGATTCACGAGGCCGGAGAGAGAAGAGTAAGCGCTGTCGGCTGGAGGTTTCAGAAGCTGGAAAATGAGGAAAAGCAGCTTTCGGCAGAAGCCTACACACTTGACAAGGTGCACGTCCAGGCTGAGAAGGCTGGCAGGGCCTGGGGATGGGGGCGCGGGTAACCCTGACAGTGGGGCAGAGGTGGGAAGAAAAATTGTGATTGGCTAAAAGTCTCCATGGGAGTAATTAGAACCCCTCAGGTCTGTCCACCCTCATGGGAAACAGAAGGCTGCCCCCATCCCTCTGAAACTGAACCAGCGGGACAGACTGAAGACGAGAAAGGGTGAAAGTCCGGCCCACGGCCACCGCTGTCCACCATCGGGGAGGACACATCCAAGGAGAATTAGGTTGTGTGCATTTTCATCACAACCCCCCTCCTCTCCCCTGCCATCTCCCCGTCTCCCTCCTGCCTGAACCCCGAGGTGTCCTCTTGCCCCGCCCATAGCCCCCGAGGTCACCAAGGCACCGGTCCGCCGGGGACCTAGAGCGTCCCGGAAGTGCGCGAGGCCGGGCGGGCGGGGCGCGGGAGCACTTCCGGCCGGCGGGCAGGCTGGCGGCCACCTCCCGATCGGAAGGTGAGTGGGCGCCGGGCGGCGGCGGTGGTGGCGGCTGCGGGGCACCCTCGGCCCAGCCCGCGCTCGCGCGTTGTCCCCGCAGCTGCCGAGACCTTGGCCTCGGCCGGGCGTGGGGGGCGCGGATGGCGGGACGCAGGGGGCACACTGGCCCCTGACGATCGCGGGTGTCCGTTTGCGGGGCGCCTCCCCACGCTCCCGGAACCCCAGGGACGGGAGCTGTGGTGATGCCCACTTTGCAGATGGAAAAGAGGCTCAGAGCTGCCCCTGGCCCGAGGTCCGTGGCCGGACTCAGCCGGGGCACCCTGCTCTCCGCTGCCAAGGGCCCCGAGTTCGGGCTCTTTCCGGCGGCGCACAGGCTCCAAGCTGGGAGGCGGGGTGGAGGAGGGTTTGCTCCTGGGCCGGTGCCGTTTGTATCCCCTCTGCCTTCAGCCTGTTGCAGCAGCGTAGACGTTTGCACTGGCGTCCCTTCGTGACCGCCACCTCCCCTCAGAGCCCGGCTAGGGGTGACCGTGCCCTTTCCCGGATATTTAAAATGTGGCATACCCAGATGTCAGGACTGCAGACCCACCGTGTGTCCACTTACCTGGCTGTGGGTGATCCTTCCCATCTTTAGGGGCTGAGGTCGGGGGCTGACCCAGGAGGCCCCCACTGGTGAGGAGCCCTGTGGCGTCTGCCTCCCTGCTTCCTTGAAGCAGGTACTGCTTGCACCGTTATTGGATGTACATTACCCTTCGTCCTTCCCCTGCCCCTTTTCACTCCCAGATAAGGCCTCCTACTTCATGGAAGTGTGAAAGAAAAATCCTCATTTTAGACCAAGCTATTCCTGCAACCCAGACTAAAGAACAGTATCTTTGACCCCAGAGGAGGCTCGGAGCACCCTGGGCGGGGCTGGGATGTGAGGGGTCCCAGCCTGCGGCCTCTGAGGGTTTTCCTCTCTGGAAATGTCTCGTTAAGATTTAACCTAGGACATTCCTGCTCCGGCAGGCGAAGTTCAGTTTTTTGCTCTCCCCAGGGCCAGCGGCCCCCAGCTGTGATGGGGGAGGTTTTTCTGGGAGAACCAGCTTGCTTCTCTCCATGGGCAAGGCCTTGGGTTGGGAGGACATTGCAGGCATTGCTGGGGGGAGAGCTTGGGTTCAGTTCGCGTGGGTGCGCTGGTGCTGTGCACATGGTAGAACTAACACACCAGGGGCCCCGGTGGCCTCGCACTGTGGGCCCCACAGGTCACCTCTTGGCGTTTAGTCCCTCCCCCGGGGGAGGAGCCTCCAGCTCACCTGTGGCTGATCGGCCCCACCCCGCACATCCCTCTGACCCCCTCATCTCGCCGTGGTTTTCGTTTCCCCGGCTCCCAGGTGTGCACTCCTCCAGCAGGCCTTGGGGGAAGATGGCAGCCCTGGGGGACAGTCAGGAGCCCCCTCATGTCCTGTCCACTGTCACTTCCGAGTCACCGGAGACACCTGGAGCCTGCCACCACCACGAGGCCCAGCTTCACCTCCACGGCCATCAACATGGTACTTGCCTCCCTGCACCGTCACCGCGGGCAGGCAGCTCACTGGGCACTGGGGCTCCTGCACCCTGGTGCTTGGGTTGGGACTCGGGCAGCAGTGCTTGAGGCTAGGGGTCGAGCTGTGTGAGCAGTGGCTCCCTAGAGGACAGTCCCTTGGAGTATGTTTCTTTAGGGGATGAGGGGTGCAAAAAAAGAAGCCTCGATGGCCAGGCCTGTGTGAGAGGAGTCAGTCACCTTATCTCCCTCTCCGAGCCTTTGATCCCACGCCAGGAAAATGGTCTCCAGAGTTCTGGGCAAGCTGGTTTGGGTGGGGACCCCCAGGGACCTGCAGGGATGGAGCCATCAGCCTTGCTCCGCCCCCTGGCAGCATCTGGGGGTGTCCAGGTGTGGAAATAGCCAACAACTGGTCGGGGAGGATGTCCAAGCCCTGCGGTGTGTGGTGCCCCTGGACCCTGCTCACACGCAGCCGTCAGGGAGTCCGGGGTCCCTTCCCTGCCCCATGTCCCACAGGAGGCCTGGCCTCACTCCCCTCACAGTCGAGGACACAAATCAGCTCTTGGTAGCCAGGACGAGGGCCCAGGTAGATGTGTTCTGTCCCACTCAGCGAGCCTCCAGAGGGCAAGGAGGTGTGTTGGGGGGTACCACCCATTCTAGAGGAGGGGGAGATGAGCCCCAGCCCCGCTGTGACCCTCAGGCTTCCCCGGCTGCAGCCCTGAGGTGCTCTCCCAGCCACCACAGGAGGAGGATCTCCAGGACGTGGAGGAGGTCCAGGCTGGCAGAGACACCTGCTGGCCAGGTGAGCAAGCGGAACCTGCCGCGGGGCCCCGCCCAGAAGCGCATTTACCTGCGGCTGCTGCACTCCAGGCTCTGTGCAGTGCCCACCACCGCTGCCAGGCCCCGAGGCCCCACTTGTCCCTGGCTCAGCGCTCACTTCTGTCCCCCACAGCCCCTCCCCCCGTTCAGTCCCGGTCTTGTTGCTGACACTTTCTGGGCTGTGAGAGCAGCGCAGACCCCCATATCCACCTGCCTGTCTGGCTAGAGTGTCCGACTTGGCAACACTGGCCAGCAATTGGGGGGTCGTCCTGGCACCCCTGTGTACTGCCCTTGGCCTCCACTTGTCCCCTAAATCGAGCTCTGGTCCCCACCCCCTTCCCCTGGGGCTTCACTCATCCAGGCCCTCAGCTCCTCGTTTCTCTCCCTCCCCACCCCACCCCCCGCCTCTCTCCCCTAGAGAAGCCCTTGGGGTGTCCTCTGGGGATCCGTGGAGCAGCTCCGGGGCCGTGTGGGCAGCGTCCTCAGGATCAGAGGCTTTTCTGCTTGGCTCTGAGTCTGAATCTCCTGTCAGGCTTCCCCCCTCCACATGCGCACGCACCCTGTGTGTTCTCACCCTGGTGCTGTCATCTGGAACGGGGCGGGGGTCCCCGCGGACGGACAGCCTGGTGGGCGGCTGAGTGCTCTCCGCCTCTCCCGTTTCTCAGATCCCGAGTTGGAGCGCGAGCGGGCCCCGTCGTCTCCCCAGCCGCACAATCCTGAAGATGAGGTGGACCAGGACACGGGGGTGCTCAGGACCCTTCTGAGGAGCCTTCCCCATAGACCCAGGTGTGGGGACAGCTTGGGGCAGGAGTGCAGCCTGGAGCGGCCGTTAGGGAAGAGAGGCACCTGGCGTGGGCCGCTCGGGCTGCAGGGAGCCTCGGGGACAGAGGGCGGCCCGGGGCGCGCCGACGAGCTGGCGGGCAGCGTCGGCCGGGGCTCGGGCCTCGGGGCCCGGCAGAGCGGCCCGCGGGGCGGGAAGCCGCACAGGTGTGAGGCCTGCGGGAAGAGCTTCCCGTACAACTCGCTGCTGCTGAAGCACCAGCGCATCCACACGGGCGAGAAGCCCTACGCCTGCCACGAGTGCGGCAAGCGCTTCCGCGGCTGGTCGGGCTTCATCCAGCACCACCGCATCCACACGGGCGAGAAGCCCTACGAGTGCGGCCAGTGCGGCCGCGCCTTCAGCCACAGCTCGCACTTCACGCAGCACCTGCGCATCCACAACGGCGAGAAGCCGTACGAGTGCGGCGAGTGCGGCCAGGCCTTCAGCCAGAGCTCCAACCTGGTGCGGCACCAGCGGCTGCACACGGGCGAGAAGCCGTACGCCTGTAGCCAGTGCGGCAAGGCCTTCATCTGGAGCTCGGTGCTCATCGAGCACCAGCGCATCCACACGGGCGAGAAGCCCTACGAGTGCCCCGACTGCGGCAAGGCCTTCCGCGGCCGCTCGCACTTCTTCCGGCACCTGCGGACCCACACGGGCGAGAAGCCCTTCGCCTGCGGCGCCTGCGGCAAAGCCTTCGGCCAGAGCTCCCAGCTCATCCAGCACCAGAGGGTGCACTACCGGGAGTAGCGGGCGCGGGGCCGCGCGTCAGCAGCCTGAGGTCGAGGCGAGTTCCCGCGGAGGGCTCCTGCCTTCGCGCCTCCTGGCTGGCGCAGCCGGCATCTCGTGCGTGTCCCGAATAAAGTCTGTGTACTTGATGGACGCGGGAGGAAGGCCACGTGGCTGCCCCCCATCCCTGAGGGCTCCTCTCGGCAGAGCCCACCGCGTGCCCTAGCGACCGAGGCCTGCGGGCGTCGTGACTTACCAGAGCCATAGCCAGGGCGGGGTCAGGCACCCCAGGACGGGTGGTTTCCAGATTGGGGTGGGGGGGCCCGGGCTGCCCGCTCTCCCCCTGGGCTGTAGTCTCTGGCGGTTTGGTTTCCTCATGCATCTGGGAGAATGTGTGTAGCATGTTCTCTCTGCAGCAAGCCCTCGGATCTGCTCTGTTTGCCCTCTCACCCTGCCTCTGCATCTACTGGTGGCTGCCTGAGGCCAGCGGGCTTCAGTGGAAGGTGGCCCTGCCCAGCCTTCATAGCTGCCTCCAGCCCCAGGAAGCCGGGGCCCCAGGGGGTTCCCCGCTTGACAGGTCTAGGCGACTGCAGCTGGGCATTGGCTGTAGCCGGCTTCAGATCTGCCATGACTGCCCTGTAGCTCCCCAGCCCCTGTGGTAAAGGGGAGAGCCCAGCTGGGTGGGGGCGCCTTCTGTCTGCCTTCCTGCCTGCTCCTTCCTGGACAGCTTTGGGACCCCCACCCCTGCCGCCTGCACCACACACGGAGGAGTTGCCCGGCCCCTCTCCAGGGTATAACTCCGCCTCGCCTCCACATCCTCTTTCCCAGTGACCCCAATGGAGAGCCCTGTGGTTGGGCTGCCCCGCCTCTCCAGGCTACACTCCCAGGGCCCCGAGGCCATCAAGCGCTTTGGACTCCCCCACGAGGGTCAGAACACCTCCTTGAGTCGTCTTTGCTGGTGCACTGTGACACCCTGGAAGACGAGGGACATCCACCTTCTCCCCAGCCCCCTGTCCCTAATACCACATGGCTATTGGGTATCGTGAAGCTTCCACCTTGGGCAGTCAGGCCGCGGAGCGGGCGAGCAGATCCCCCAGGGCTTTCCGGGGAGCGGTGGCTCAGCCTGTGCTCCAGAAGGCTCATCCTGCAGCCTCAGCACCAAGGCTGGACTCGGATACCTGCACCACAACCGGACTTAGCGGGCAGCCCCAGAGCAGAGCCCGGCGGTCCTCCACACTGTCCTAGACTATCCTGGAGGTGGCCCGGCAGACCCTCGGTGACGGGACAGGGACAGGGCGGGAGCTCCCAGGCCACTGAGCAGCAGACGTGCAAGCTAGGAAGGCTGCCCAGAGGAGGGGAGCGTGGAATCAACCGCCTCCAGCTGCAGCTCCTCGGTACCAGGAGGTAAACTCTCAGCAAAGGCTCTGTGTCCTCCCTTGTCGCATGCGGCCCGCCGAGATGGGCTGAATGGCATTTGCATTTGCCGGCTTGGGACCGGTTCTCTCTCGAGGGTTCCATCTGATGCATTCAGCACTTCCCGGGAACCTGGAACGCCCGGCAGGACCGAGACAAGGACTCCTCAGGGCATCTTCTCTGCCCGTTGTGGCTGCCCAGGTTTATCAGTATCTGGCTGCACAGGACGTTACAGTTCTCGACCCCTGACCGCTCCTGGGACGTGGGTACAGCCCGGAGTCTCTGCACTGTCTTCCTGCCTCGTGTCAGGCACAGACGTCACGCCCCTCCTCCCCCGCCATCATCATCCTCCGGTTCCTGTGCCCCAGCCTGCTCTGGAGCCTCTATCCAGCCCTGGTTGCGAGTGTCTCTAGCTCAGCGGCCACTGTCCCTCGCCTCCCGCTGACCCTGTTATCTCCAACCCCATGGGCTGCGCTCCCTCCCACCCGGGCCCGTGTCCTCGGCTCCAGCCAGCCTCATGCTGTAAGATTGTACTTAATGCCACAGGGTTGGCCTCATTCCTCCTGATATGGATGTGCTCTCTCCCCGTGACGCAGAGCAGAGCTCAAAGCAGCCCCAGACCCATTCGTATCTATTTTCACCACTAGAACGGTAAGGGAAGCATCCCAGGGAAGGGCTCTGCTGGTTCCTGCTGGGCTCTCGTGCACTCGCTGTCCATCCCTGGGCCAAGGGCTGTAATCAGGGAGGTGGTCCAGAGATTGTCATTCAGCCTGATTCAAGGTCACACCCATGGCTGGCTGCAGGATGCTGGGATGAGCAAACAGAACCATAAGGTCCTCTGCACACGTTTTCAATACCAGTATTGTCCACGCGCTTGTCTTTTTCAGTTGCTATGCAACATTCCATATTGGGCTACCTCAGTATCCCAAGGGTTTCGGACTTTGAGAGACCCCAGATTAACGATGGCCCAGAGGTGGAAGCCAAGACGTGGTCTATGGGCTCATCTGCCCTGTGCCGTGTGCCCCAAAGCAGGTGGGCAGGAAGGCAGGCTCTCCCCACATCCAGCTTCTAAGGACATTCACTCTACTTTGGAGCCCACCTCTGCCACTCATTTCTATGCCACCTGGGCAAGGTCCGTATCCTCTCTAAGCTGCATCGGTAAATTGGCGATAGTGATTCTATGGAATACGTCACAAGGTTCTGTGAGCGCTAAATTAGATCGTCATGTGAAGAACCAGCAGAGCACAGGCCAGAAGCAGAAGTTAACATCCACTTCCCACCTGGAAAATACACATCCTCCCTCATGATAGTTGATTACAGTTATTTATTTCCATCCCATTCATTCAGTAAACCCTTTTTGAGCACCTGCTCTGGGCTGTGCATGTCCCCATCTAGGAGGCTGCTTTTCCACACAGCACGTCACACCCAACTCTGTCCTCGGTGCGCAGCACGGTGGTGACTTGTGCACTGCTGCACGGCTAAACAGTCACTGGGGTCGCCCAAGCGTATCAATGGTCAGATCCCCTGACTTTATCTTTTAAACCCAAGGCTGCAGGCTAAATCAGATCTGGCAGGACTTTTCCAACTCCACTAGGGAAAGTGAGACAAACTGTTCTTCAGAGGTCTCTGACAGGGGTCTCTGAGCTGAAGGAGGGGTTATGCCGGACCCAGACCCCTGAGGAATGAGTATCAGAGGCTCCTCCTGGGGGCAGAGTTTGCTGAAAAACACAGATTCCCAGACCCCACACCAGGGAAGACAGATTCAATAGGCCTGGGGTGGAGCCAGGGAATCCGGATTTAGTTCTGACACCCCCAGTGAAGTTGACAGTGTGCCAGGCTTGGGAACCTCCGGTATCATCTAGTCCCTCAAAGCAGGTGCACCCGCATAGGCAGTGGTCCAAGCCCCACTCAGACACCACCTGGAGAGGCAACCCGAACTGCTGGACAGCTCTGCCCTCTCACCGCCACCTGCTCCCAGCTCTGCCCTCTGGGCCTGTCGTAGCCTGGCTGCACTCACTGGTAGGGAGAACCCTCAGGATCTGAAGGTAGTGGTCAGGCCAGGGTCCATCTCCCCGCTGCGGTTCTTTTCTAAGCACTCAGTTCCCTCAGCTGGTCGCAGGGTTTGTGGACTTGCCTTAGCAATGGTCCAAGCCAGCGTGCGTCATTCCTCCCCAGAGCCCTTCCTACGGCCTTCCTGGCCCTACACGCCGGGTCCCCTTGTTCTTTCCCTCCCAAGGTCTCTGCCTCGCCGACTTCTCCGAGGCCCCATCGGCGGTGCAGCCCAGCACCTCGGACAGCTCCAGGGACGCGCGCACGCCTCCGGGCGCAGGTCCACGGCCCTGAGGCTCTCCGGGTCCCCCGAGCCTCAATCCGGGGCTCCGCCCCAGGAGCCCTCCCCCCGGCCGCTCCCCTGGGCGAGTCCCCCCGCGGGGACCCCTGAGAGGGTCCCCTGAGCTTCCTAGAGCTCCCGGAAGTGCCGGCGGCGCGGGGCGGGGCTCCCTGTGGGCGCGGCGCGCGCTTCCGGCTCTCCCGCCGGGGCCCGGGGAGCGGCGGGTGAGAGGCCCCGCGGTGCTGGTCGCTGGGCCCTGCAGCCGGGCCGGCGGGGGATGCGGCGTCGCGCCCGGCTCCCTCAGGCCTTCCCTCCCGCCGTCAGCACAACCAGCCAGCCGCGCCCCCCGCCGCTCTCGGTACCATGGCCGGCGGCCTCGACCCCCGGCGCCCGAGCTTCGTCCGTGCGCGAGGAGGGCGCCCCCGGCCTGCTGGGCCCAGGGCCTGGACGGCCACAGGCCAGGTTCCCAAACCATGCTTCTCCCACTCCTTATTTTAGGGAGTCCGCTGGAAGATTTGAAAATCCCGGGAAAGCCCGGGTTTCCCTTTCAGAGAAGCTCATCCTGGAGTGTCCAGGTGGACCTTGCTAAGTCCAGGCCAATGTGCCATTGGGGAGAGCATCTGGCTCTGGGCACGGCCCCATCTGCACAGCTGGGGTGTGTTTTCCCCAGGACCTCTCCACGGATCAGCACGAATCCTCATCTCACCGATGGCAGCGCTGTCACCCGCTGTGACCTCACCCCCCACTCTGCCTGTCTAGGGGACCGGGCCAGGCTCTCCTCTTCCGGAGGCGGGGACCCAGGGACATGGTACACCCCTCTCGAGCCCCGGTCTTTGTCCCTTGGGCCACAGGTCAGGACCTTAACATCTGTCATTCAGTGTGCAGCCTCCTCGGGCTGTTCCCAGCGCCCCCCCCACCAGCACTGCTGCCTTGCCACAGGGGTCAGCGAGGCCCCGGATCTCAGGGGAAATGGAAGGCTAGTCCTCAAGGAGGACAGGTTTTAACAGAATTCTTTTCTTTTTTTAAAATTTTGTCTTAACTTTAAGAGTTTATTTGAGCAAAAATCGTTTGGAATCAGAGAGCACCAAACCGGAGGTGGTTAGGAGTGCTCCCAGATCTGTTTTTCTTTAAGAGTGTTTTGGGACTTTGTGTCCTTCTAACACCCTTCCGCTCCCTGACCTTGATCCCTGCATAACCCCATCCCAGACAGAGGGCCTAATTTCCTTGTTCCCGCCCCGCTGATTTAAATGAATGCGGCCTTTGCCGAAGTCTCTCCATGCTCTGGTTCAGAGTCTGGTGTCATTTGCTGCCTCCCTTTCTGGTTTCAGACCATGAGGACGGAGTTCAGAGTGAGGAGCAGATTCCGGGGCAGAACCGCAGGGTGTCCCGGGGACAAAGGTTCTAAGG